CCCACCTCCTTTCCACCTCGCTGCCAATGATGGCAAATTTTGTGAATTGTTTTTCTCTTTTCCCCTTACTGGTTCTAAAACTTTTCGCTGCCCAACCTGACTTTGTAGTTCTGTTTCTTACTTGTTTGATATTGATTTTGTTCTTGTCTAGGTTTATTTTTTATGACATTTTTTAATATTCTATTTCTCCCTCCAGGTCAGTGTAAAGGACTTGAAGTCTTTTTTAATCCTCCCCCCCATGAATTTCAGAAGTATCACTCTGATTCTTTAAAAACTCACTGTATATGTGTGTTTCCAAGCACTGATTATCTTCATGATACCTTAAGACAGAACAATTTGCAGTCATCCATATATCCTGTGATTGGGTAATTGAATCATTAGCTCTCAGCAGTTGCCCTGAAGCAAGTGGAAACAGCTAAGGGCTAGCAGTACTCTAGGGTTACTGGGGAAATCTAACAACAGGAGGGGGGGCATTGTCATGAATTAAGGTGGCTACCTACCTTTTTAAATAGGGTTTGCATTGATACCAGAATGAAGACAATCTTTCAGTCTTTGGCTTTTTCACTTGCCCTTGTAGTCATATGTGTGTTTAATGCCTCGTAGATTTGTGCTTTTATAATCTTTACTATGAAAAAGAGTGAATCTTCATGGAGGCCTTCTTTCCCCCAGCTCTAGATGCAGATATTTAAATGACTGCAGTTGGCAGAATGACCATAGATGGTGTAAAAGCACACCTTTCTTTGGCCTCAGGTCTGTGAGACTAGAATTGAAGCCATCTCCCAGTCCCCCCAAAGAGGCTGAATCAATGTGATGGGGGTGGGAGCCTTAATCCAAAATCCAATAAAGAACTTGAATGTCTGAACAAATGTATGGGGCCTCTCATAGAGCTTTAAAACATCTAACACAAATGCAAAAAAAAAAAAAATGTGGAGCTCTGAGATCCAAAAAAAGATTTTTTAATTTTCTGAAAGTGATGATAAATACTTTTAAAGTGCTGCATATTTATACAACTGAAAGATTATTTTTGTAGATACAATGTCTGTAAGCTGGGATACCTGGAGATTGCTTCAGGCATTTAAAAATCACTTTTTTACTCCTAGGGAGATGCAAATAAACAGAACTCTCTTATTTCCTGAGTCTTTATACATTTGTTTTCTGTTTTTTTTTTAAGTCTGCCTCTAGAAACTCTTCTTATTTATTATAAAAATCTTGTTGTCCTGCACACTCTGATGTTCCCTATAAATGAAGGAAAAGAAACTCATTCTGGTCTCTGGAACCTCCTGGCTTTCCACTTCTGACACCCTTTTTCCTCCTTTTCCTTGTGGCTTTAACGTAAGTAGTGATGTCTTTCAATGAAGATATAATTTGTGGTATCTAAAATGGTGTGTGTGTGTGTGTTGTATGTTTTTTTTTTTAACCAGGACAGCTCAAAAACATCTCCAATAAAATTTTACTTCTTTAGCAATATTATCAATTTATTCAAGGTTTTATTATTTTTTTTAAATCATTATGTGTGGGTGTGCCTGGGCATAGGAAAATTTACTCGCTTGGAGGTTTTCTTCCTAGAAGGCCGTTATAAATATCTACTCTAGGAATCTCTCGAAATTAGACATACCCATATTTGGCAACTGGGGAAGAAACATTTCAAGTGTTTCCCTTATCGCCTTCTCTGGACAGCCTGTACACAGCAGTTGAAGACTGAAGCCATAATTATACACGCTAAACCTTTAGAAACAAATTTTAGGCAGTATGAACTCTCTTCTCGAGGCCTTTTTGCCACTCGGAAATGGCTGGCCGCTGAGGAACCGGATGCCTCCTCCACCAGCTTAGCGCACGGCGCAATTTGGCAGTTGCTAACTTTTTTATATATAAGTTAAATGCAGTATTTAAAACGTCACACATTGTGTAAATTCATGTAGCAGGAGAGCTTCCTAATGGATCCGCTAGAGAAAGTACAGAAACCTAAGGTCCGAAGCTACTTTCGTTTTCTCTGGCCGTGTTTGATTTCTCTCATGTCTTGCAACCGACTGCGGGAGGGAGACCAACTTCGTTTTAATTATGAAAGAGATAAGAAAAAAAGTCATCACTATTCTATCTCTGGAGAAGAAATAACCACTGAGAAGGGAGCCAAACCGTCCCATCATCTTCCACTTCATGAAGTTACTAGCATTTTGTGTGTGTGTGTGTCCCCCCCAACCCCCCCACACAAGATCTTTTCGTCTGAAATGGGCGTTTTTCCTTCTCCGTCGTGGTCCCTCCAGCCCGTTCTTTTCTGTAAATCCCAGATTCCAGGGCCGGATCCACTTCCCAGGTCCGTTTCTCAGGTTTCCCGGCAGGGATAGGGTTGGGGGTGGGGAATTGCCTCAAGGTTTCCCTTTCATCTATAGTTTGCTGGTCAGTTTCTCTCCTGGCGGAGAGAAACGGGAGGTTTGCTGAAGATTAAAACTGAGCTCAAACGCTCTCCGGCGGAATTTAAATTGACGGTTAAATCAATAACAGATGAAGACTTTGTTATTTATATGCATTCCATTTATATTTCGAAATGAACAGGGAGGAGAGGAGCGGGTCGGTGGCCTAAGCGCTGGAGGGAAGGCCAGCGGGGCACTGGGAGGCCTTTCCTTGAGGTGTTGACTGCGAGGCTGCAGGGAGGGTAGTGCCTCCGAAACCTGGCAGGTTTCGAGAGCCGCGGGTGGAGAAATCAGGCTCTCGTGTCCACAGGCAACTGAGTAGAGGAAGGAGGCGTTGAAGCCGCGACGCGCTGCTAGACAAAAGAGCGGCCGCGACGCTTCCTCGCGTCTGGCAGCCTGCCGGATCCCTCTGGCTCCGCTGTCCCCGCCAGCCTTGCCGCACACTCTCCGGCTTTCCGAGACGCTCGGCAGCGCCTGGCAGCGGGCCTTGACCGCACGGGCTGGCGACCCCTGGCCAGCTGCGCCGCCCTTCACTGTTGATCTTGACCGTGCGGCGCCGCTTCGCCAGCGTGGAGCTCGCTCGCCATCTCCTGGGCTGTCGGTGCATTGGCAGAGCTCGCCTTTTAGCTCGGTGGCCAAATTGTTTCCCCATTCTTCAATTACCAACCAGCCCTCCAGCATCCCCGCCCCCAACCCTCATCCCCACCCCACCCCCGGCGCCATGACGCCCTCCCTCTCTGTCCCCAGCTTTCAGCTCCACTTATACATACAACTTTGTTGCTAAACTTCGGAAAGCAGAAACCAGAGAGGTCGGGTGGGGCGGATGGGCACCGTTCTGAGTCTAGGAGAAACGGAGAGGCTGTTTTAGGGCTTTTGTGTTTCTTAGTTAATCTCCTTACATTTGTAGTCTCGAGAGGCAAACCCCATCCGTATGGGTGTCTAAAGGTTGGGGGAAGACACTTCTGAACTTGAAAATAACAGAGACTCACTTATGGGCTGCCAGGAAAGGAGGTAGCAGAGAGCAAGAGGTTTTGGGCCTAGGGAGGCTACGGCTCCTCGAAACCAGACCGAGTTTCCCAAAATAAGAGCCTGGGTCCCCTAAATTCCTAGGAACTGAGATTGTAGCTTGTTGCCTGCACATCCCATAAAAGGACAGGGACTGGAGCACCTCTCACTGAATTCCTAAGAAAACTCTTGACAGAGCCCAGAGGAGCCCCAGAGTTACCTACCCTTATCCTTTAACCCTACCCCCCCTTCCTCCAGCGGGAGGAAGAAGCCGATTGCGTTCCCTAGAGCCGCCCAATTGGTCGCCATAACTCACACAATAAAGCCGCAGCACGGTGGTCAGCCTTGCCCTCCGGCGGCGCCTGTGTGGTCTCGGTGCCGAGCTGGCGGGTTAACCAATTCCAGCTTGACTGGGGGACTGGGAGACAGGCTGCAGGCTGGAGCGGGAACAAATCACCGGGTCGCTGGGGGTCTTGGGTCAAAGACTGGAGAGGAGGACCCCTAACCTTCCTTCAACACTAGACGGAAGGCTTGGGCTGAGCTGCCATGTTGCTTCCGGAGTGGGAACCCTCTCCTGCCCCTCTCCCTGTTCTCCAGACCCGGAATCTACCGAGAGCCTCCCTTGTGGAGAGTCTGAGTGGAGAACCGCACCACTGACTCTGGCTCTTGTGCCTTTCACATCAGGTGAGGCGCGTTCATGCTTGTGCTGCATGCCAGGGGGTGGATGAACACATCTGAGCTTTGGGTTTGCAGGATGGCATGACCAAGGTCACTGTCCAGAACAGAAATGTAACCTTTGGCCATGATTGGACAATTCAGCAGCACCGTCCCAGGTCCCAGGATGAACATTCTCCAAGAACCTAGATGGCGACTTCCCTAGCAGCAGAGGGCTTGGCCATGGACATGCACAGCAGAACTGCAGTGGTGATATGAACTTTCCTTCTGGGCACCAAACTTGGGCAGTTTACAATTCATTTTCTCCTGGAATAGCAAACGGCTGGAACAGTGTCTGCGCAGAGGGTCCATGCTTTTCACTTTTCACTGCCATGTCTTCGTGCTTGCAGAAGCCTCTCTACAGCCCTGCTGTGGAAATATGGGGGTAAGAGTAGCATTGCTCAGATATAGGGACAGACCGCAGGTTCTCCAGACCTGGAAAGATGGACAATACTGGTAAAGGCCTCAGCTGTAACTTAAAAAACTGGTAGAAGCAAGCCTGCCTCTGGTAGCCTGTGAAGACGGGGATGTGAAGCCAATCAAGATCAAGAAGGGCCCAAGGGACACTCGGGCAAAAGCATTTGGATGCTTGATGCTCCCAACTCCTGAAGGCAGCCAGGAAACGAAGAGGCTTCATTTTCACTCAACAGGACTTGACTTTGCCTGACAGCCTCTTCCTTTGCCATCGAATATTGCGGGTGTTATCATAATACCCTGAAGGGGGGGGCACGGTTGGGGGGATGTAGGCGGTGCTGAAATGACCGGCTTTGAAGAACCTGCAGGCAAAGTTTCGTCCAATCGTCTGAGCCTGTCCTCTTATTCCCGGTTGTAACTAAATACTGCTGCAAGCGCAGCCGAAGCCCTTTGTTGGAGATGTGTGAGCGCAGTCTCTACAGAGCGGGCTATGTGGGCTCGCTTCTAAATCTGCAGTCGCCTGATTCCTTTTACTTCTCCAACCTGAGACCGAATGGAGGCCAGTTGGCCGCCCTTCCCCCCATCTCTTACCCGCGCGGCGCGTTGCCCTGGGCCACCACGCCCGCCTCCTGCGCCCCAGCTCAGCCTGCCGGCGCCACAGCCTTTGGCAGCTTCTCTCAGCCCTACCTGGCCGGCTCCGGGGCTCTTGGCCTGCAATCCCTGGGCTCCAAGGACGGACCCGAAGAGCAGCCCAAGTTTTACACGCCTGACGCTGCTGCAGGGCCTGAGGAGCGTGGTCGAGCTCGGCCGCCCTTCGCCCCTGAGGCTAGCCTGGCCCCAGCGGCCGCTGCTCTCAAAGCCGCCAAGTACGACTACCCCGGAGTGGGCCGTGCGGCGCCAGTCTCCGCGGCCTTGCTGGAGGGGACCCCCTGCGCCGCCAGCTTCAAGGACGACGCCAAAGGCCCGCTCAACTTGAACATGACAGTGCAGGCGGCGGGCGTCTCCTCTTGCCTGCGACCTTCGCTGCCCGACGGTAAACCGTGGCCATGCTCCCCGGGCCAGTTTAGGCCAGGAATGGGCGGTGGGGTGTAGGGAAGAGTGCCTGGAGGGAGGGAGTCACTGGGGCGGGCAGACAACCGGGAACGGGCTGGACTGACTTGCGTTGGGGCTGTGTTGCAGGCCTGCCGTGGGGGGCGGCCCCGGGGAAGGCCCGCAAGAAGCGGAAACCTTACACCAAGCAGCAGATTGCGGAGCTGGAAAACGAATTCCTCCTCAACGAATTCATCAACCGGCAGAAGCGCAAGGAATTGTCCAACAGGCTGAACCTCAGTGATCAGCAGGTCAAAATCTGGTTCCAGAACAGGCGTATGAAGAAGAAGCGTGTGGTGCTGCGCGAGCAGGCACTGGCACTATATTAGCTGCGGGCGTGGCCAAGGCCAGCCCGGCCCTGCCTTTTTGAGTCGAGGCCTGGTGTGGAGGAAGAGCTGGAACTGGTGGTTTTCCTTCCGCTCCTTCTCGCTTGGTCTTAGGAACTCTCCAGCTCTGTCTGCATCTCTAGAAGCCAGTGGGAGATTTGGAGAACCTGGTCAGTTGGGCCTCAACGCTTTCTCTCCGAGGGAGGAGTGGAAATTGCAGCACGACCTTGATCTTGATGTTTCCCTAGGGTCACCTGTCCTAGCGTTTGGCTGGGGCATTTACACGGGTCTCACTCTGGTTGCCTTGCACTTGGATTTTTCTGCCTCCAAGCGGTTAGTGTCTCTTCCCTCCTCGCCCTAGCCCCTTCTGTATTTAACAAGCGCCTAGCTAGAGCTCAGTTCAAGGGACTTTACGAAGATCTGGGGTGGGGGGCAGAGTGGAAAAGGTTGGGGGCATAGTTTTGTCTATTTGCAGCCCAAACCCCTTGTGGCAAAATCAGAATCTCATTCTGGAAAAAAGGAAAGTGCGACGTCCCCCTCCCATCTGCCTTGGCGGATTGGGGAAGACAAAAGCTTCCCTAGACCTTCGATGTTGGGAGAAACGGGGAGGAGCAGGGTGTGATGGTAGGACAAAGTCAGTGAAGACACCTCAGCGTTCTGGCCCAGTTGATTAGGGGGAATGGACTGGATACTTCCTTCCCATCCATGGGATGAGGGTGGCTAGGCTTCTCAGCACACTGCATTTTCCAGACAGGACTGGTAAAATTCTCCTCGGTCTCCAAACTCCTCATACATGCCTAGTCTACAGCCCTGTGCTGTGTAACTGGCCCTCCAGAACTGAGCTCTGGTGAGGAGAGCTGATGACTTGCTTTGAGGCTCGGTTGCACTAGCAGGAGAGGGAAATATCCAAGTGGAGGAGAAGAGAGTAAGCAAAGGAGAGGGATTCCTGCATTCTGGCTGTAAGTAAGTCTTTCTTGTCCAAGTGGGTAAAGGTGCTGACAAATCTTTCTTTCTGAATTACTGTAGTGGGTCATTGCAGGGAGAGGTGAAAGCTCTTCCACCCTTTAGATGGCAAGGAAGGAGGCCACTCCTATTCTCAGCCCCTGGTCACTGCTCTTGACAGACTACGGAGGAAAAGTTCCCCTCACCTCTCATCTCCAACACCCACCCACCAACTTTATCAGAAGCTCAGTTGCTGTGCCTCTTCTGAGCTGGCATCTAGCTTGCCCCAGTGGATTCTGTGAGGACCTGGGCCCTGCCAGGCTTGCTGTGTAGAGGTTGGGACTCCTGTATTGCTACATGGAATTGCTCTGGGTGTGCTGGATATCCAGCCTTAATCTCAGTGAACTCAAGGGGCTCCCCACAAGCTTCCGCTACGCTACCATTCATGTCTGACTTGCCTTTTAGAAGTAACACCTCCCAACTCCTAGATCCAGGATACAGGACAGTCAAAGAGTTGAGGATTTCTTTCCAAAGTCCAATGATTTTTTTTTTTTTCATCAGAGAACCAGGCCCTAGACCTGGAGTGAGCACTTCACTGGGAGCCCCTAGCCTCAGTCCAACTGACCTCAGATGATGTATAGACTAATTGCATTTCCTGTGTTATCTAATAGTTGTTGTGCATGTTCTGTTTTGTTTTGATTCTGTCAAAAGCAATAGCTTGTATATATCAAACACGTAGAAATGTTTTGAGGGGAAATAAATATCCAGGTCCCAGGCAAGCTGTCAAGGGACTGATGTTGATTTTTCAAAATGTTTTGTATCCCCTCCTAATGTTTTTCAGGCCACCACATTCATTTTTTCTTTCCTGGTTGTAGTTTCGCTGCGGGTGTTGACTGTTCATTAAATGACAAAATGGCTTCCAAGTCAGTCAGGAAATGGTGTATAAAAAGCCTATGAACAAAATGCATATGAGACATTCAAAGGGGCCAGGAACCATGGGTAAATGTGACTATGTTTTGCACACCAAGGGAACCCTCTGTCCTAGGCTAGGATGTATGTATTTTGCCTAAATTCTCAAACTTTGATGTATGTTGTTATCAGAGACTGCCAAGATAGGTGATTCCTCAAATTTCAATTGAAAACATCTCTCCGGACCACATTTTAGCTAGTCTTCTCTCTAACAGGCTATTCCCCTGTGGAATTCTCCATAAAGTCACCTCTGCCTGGAGTTCACCAGGCTCCCGTGGAAAATGTGGTCTTCATACCTCTTGGGCCTTCAGAGCCTGTAGCTCCAGCCGATGGAAAAGCTAGGGCCTTCTCAGTATTCACCACCCTCTTGCAGATCTCTGCTTCCAGCTAACTGAGATGAAAACTAGAGAATTGCTAGCTTTTAGCAAGTGAGGGAATTAGTAAAACTGCTTAATCTCTAATATCAAGTATTCATTGGTTCCGGCTCCCCTCCCCTGGAGTGAATTTGATATGTTCTTTAAAATATAATTTAAACGTGCCTTTTACAAAATACAAGGCGGAGGGAAGGAGCAAAAAGCAGCCAAGCCTCTATACTTAGAACTGTTTACTCACTGGATAGAGCTCAAGGAGGTAGGTAGCGCCCAGAAACTTGTCTTTCCAAATGGGGAGGTTTCCTTCCTTCAAAACAGCTAAAGAAAGGTGAAGGCCATAGTCAGACCTCAGGTTTGAGGGTTGGGTAAGGGGCCAGGAAATCAGACTTACTCAGACCCAGGCCTTCAGACACCATAGGAAGGCAGTTTCTTTCCAACAGATATCATTAAACATCGTGTGCTTTCTCTTTAGCCTGGGTTGTGGGGTGGGAGGAGATAGTCCTGAGTCCATTCCCCCAAAGAGATTGAAATTATTCTAAGTGCAAATTTTTTTCTGTAGATTGGGGCTTCAACAGTGTTTTCCAAATCTATCCCTTTTACTGATCCACACAAATACCAAGGCGGCAGCATCCTCTCTCTTCCTAGCGAAGGTGCTGGCAAGGATTTGGAATCACCACGAAATTGGTAAGAAACAAACGCCCCAGAAAAATGATGCTGAAATCTGCGTGCTCAGTATTCCCTCGCACAAAGACGGATAAACCTTCTGAAATGCTGCAGTCCAGGCAGGCCTCTTGACCAAGAAACAGGTCTTAAAACCAGAAATAAACGGCTTCGTCTGGCCTTCAGTCGGCTTTGAGCTCCCAGGGGCGACGGAGGGCTCTTTTAAGGCCTGGGCCCTCCCCCCCCCCCCAAGGGATGAGGGCTGGGGAGGCTTCCGGGAGGCCGGCGGGTGGAAGAGAAATCCGGAACCGTTGTAAATATTCATGTCTGAGGAGGGGTGCCCCTTCACCCCGCCTCTCCCAGCTGCATCCACCCCCCTGTGGGGGGGGGGCATGGCGCCTGTCCGGTTGTCCTTGGACAAAGGTGATCTCCCCATATTTTTGTTCTCCAGTCAGTTGACTTAAGCAAAGCATCCCTACGCTCTGCAAGGAAGGGCCTGGCTCTGGGGGTTTTCTCCGCATTTCTCTTCTTTCGTTTCCTAAAAGAGCATAAATAATTAAAGTTTGGCAGGGAGGAAAAGCTTTCTTGCAGAACTGTAGTGGCAATAAATGAAATGACTCAGAATCCCTTCCCCAGTCAGCTTTTACGAGAGCTGCCAGACAGTGTCTGTTCACGTTCTCCAGATACCAGGGGCGCCCTGACAAAGTTAAGGTCAAGTTAGTGTCTTATCTTGGGTGGCTTAAAATTACCGCATCGCGTCCGGCGTTGCGCGGAAAGCTACCACTCGCGGAGCTGCTGGCTGTGCCTGGTGGGTCCGGTGCGCTCCCCGCGCTTCGAGTGGGGCCGCGCAGATAAGGACAAGGCCACAACGCCGGGGTCTTCACGGTAGGTTCTCGAGCGGGATGCGCGGGGTCGGGAGGCTGTGGTTTTCCTTGGGTTTGGGGGTGACGATCGAGGAGGAAGCTGGGGCCAAGGGGTGTTGCAGGATTAGCCCAGAACGAAAGCCCCGGGTTAGATGTGCGATCGGGGGTCCGTGCTAAAGCACAGAGAGGGGCCGGTCGCCCCTTATCCCTATGCACCCGGGCGCCGCTGCAGATGGCGCGCCGCCCCAGCTAAAGCGCAGCTCCCGCCGCCGCAGCAGCCGTCGCCATGTCGTTGAACTTGAATGGTTCTTCCCCATTTCCCTCTTCGTGGCCAGTAAGCCCCACTTGGGGGGCGGCGGGCTGTCTGTACCCTACCCCATACAGAGAGAAAGTGGAAATTTGTGCGTACCCCCAGATACATAAAGACCTAGCCAGGGGGGTCCTGAGCAGCCGCAGGGCCAGTGTGCAGCGTCGGGGGAGCCATTTTAGGAGAGATGGGGGTGTCAACCTCCAGACAGAAAGAGAGAAGCTTGGACCTAGGATGGAGATAGGGAAGCAGATAAGTGTGAGGCAATCTGGGTTAAGAAAGGGGTTGATTTGGAGTCTGAACTGAGAAGAGGGTGCACAGAAGGACATGCAGTACTGGGGCTGGAGGCTCCTTGCCCTTCAGCCACCGACCAGTTTGTGCTGCCTTCCCAAGAAAGCAGAAGTGGGAGGTGGCAGAGAGAGAGTGGGAGGGAGAAAAGAGAGGGAGGAGAAAAAGAGGAAGGGGGGAACAGTGGCCAGAAAATAGATATGATATCTATCACCGGCCTTTTTTCTGTCTGTTGGCGTGGTGGGCAGAGCTCACAGCAGGGCACTGCGGTGGTGCCTCTGGCCAGGGAGAGAACCAGCTCCACAGCCTGTGTGGCCTGCCCTGGGCTGAAACCCTGGACCCAGTGCTGGAGAAAGGGAATCCTGAGGAGAAGGGCAACTTCCTGGCCTCTGTGATCCAAGATTTGGGTTTGGGAAGCTCATTTCTGAGAGACTTATTTTATGTTTGGAAAGCCCTGGTTCTCCCGGAGGCAGGAATCGGGCCTTGCATGGACCCAGGAACCAAGAAAGAAAACTCATATGCAGCCAAGGAGAATCAGATCTTTGGGCTAGTGAATAAGGGGTTCTCAGGGTTAGGAGGAGCAGAGGGTCTTCCGAGAAGGCAAGAACTGTTAAGAACCATCCCTCCAAAGCCAAAGGGCCTGGGGGCGAGGGCATCACTGTGGCCACCCAAGGACTCCACAGGCCTAGGGGAGAAGCAGGTGGGTGGGTAGGCCTTTGGTAGGGCTCTGAACCAGGGAAAGTACTGGATGTGAGGTGTCCAAGCCAGAAAGCTAGAGGCTGAGGAGGGTGCAGGTGGTAAGGTTTGTCTCCCCGTGTGTGGGGGGGAAGGGGGCAGGTAGCAGGATACCAGGCCTGAGAGTAAGTCTTAGATTCCTTTGTTCATCAGACTCCCCAGCTTTTAGAGGACCACTGGGTGTCTCAGCTAAATTCCCCTTTAGCATTAGGAGAGAAAAGGCAGAGCTGTGACAGGAAGAGAGAGAGTGACCCACTGCCAGAAGAAAGGAAGAGAGAGAGTGGGGGGGGGGTAGGGGGAGAGAGAAATAAGAGGAAGGAGGAAGGAAAGCAGAAACAAGAGAGGGAATTGCCAGAAGAGAGGACTGGAGAGAGAGAAGTGAGAAGACTGAAGAGACAGGAACAGAGCAGGAGCAAGAAAACCAGAGAGAGAGAGCCAGAGGGCCAAGGGGCACCTAGGCCCCGGCCCGGGTGAGTTTTTGGTAGGGATTTGGCGTTGTTTTTTCCGAGGCCGGCTTTCGGGCTCCGGCTGTCGGGAGGGGAGAGAGCCGAGTCACACCGCTGTGCGGGACTAAGAAATATGTAAATCAGGTCTCCCCGCGCCCCGAGAGCGGCGCAATTACGCCCCTTGAACAAGAAGCAACAAGCTCCTGGCGCGGGGAAGCTGCAGAGGGTGGCTGCGTCGCGGGGGAGAGAGCGGTTGTAGGAAGGGGGGGTGGGAAACTCACACCCTCACACCTAGTCCCCTGTGCCCGGGGCTGGGGCTCCCCCCTCCGCTCTCCGCTTCTCTCCCTTCCCCCTTCCTCCGCCTTCCTCCCCCTCCCTCCTCCTCCCCGCCGGCCTTACTCCGCGTACTTAAAGCCGAGCGGGCGGACACGGGCGGGCGGCCCAGCCTGGCGGTGGCAGATGCACCCAGCAGTGGCAGCCGCCGGCGGCGCACAGGTGACCGGCCTGCAGCGCAGCCTGGTCACGGGGCGCCCAGAGAGAGCTGGCTGGAGACGGAGCCCTATCCGCCCCCCGCGCGCGCGAGTCTGGGCGCCAGGAGCCGTCCCAGGGCGTGTTGGCGAGCGCTGATATAGATATAAGGACATTTCTCTCCATGGCGTCACGTGACATAATTACCACCAGAATCAATCAAGATGAATTGCACGTCAGCGCCCGGTGGGGATTTTTGCTTAGTTGATCCTGGCCCAAGCCTCTTGTGCAATCGATGGCTCAGGTTGGCGGCTCAGGGAGCGGCCCAGGGCTCGCCGGCGCGCACGCCGCGGAGCCATGAACGACTTTGACGAGTGTGGCCCGAGCGCAGCCAGCATGTACCTGCCGGGCTGCGCCTACTATGTGGCCCCATCGGACTTCGCCAGCAAGCCGTCGTTCCTGTCGCAACCGTCGTCCTGCCAGATGACTTTCCCCTACTCTTCCAACCTGGCGCCGCACGTCCAGCCGGTGCGCGAAGTGGCCTTTCGCGACTACGGCCTGGAGCGCGCC